AGCTTACATAGCAGATACAGTTTGACTACTTAAGCAGTAAACAGATCTTTTAGATTCGGATTGAGGAAATTGAACTTCAAGCATCTTCTCTATCAGGGCCTGAGAATCAGATAGATGCATGCATTAGGAAATGTCCACACATGAAGAGGCATGAAATTGCTGAATTAATAAATGCCATCTTTCCAGCTGCCCCCATACATTACAGTTTAATGAAAAAACATTCCCAGCTGTTTAAGAGCTTTTTGAAACCCAGCAAAGCAGCTGGATGGAGTTTGTGCAGTACAGCAGTGACAGCAGCTCTAAAACATTCTGTGTGTGTCCTGTACAGTATATTTATGCAAGCGGGGGTCCTATGGGAAGAGCCAGAATTAGCAGTGGATAGTGAAAGGTCATAGAGCAGTGGGAATAGAGATCCTGATGACGCAATCTGTCCAATCATATTTATTTCCGCTGGCCAGAGCCCAGTGCCTACGTCTAGACTTGAAAAGCTAAATAACTAACAATGTGATTATGTTTAACTCTGCATTAAAGTTTGTCAGCGGTATCTGGCGGCTTTCAAGTTCTTTCTTTTTAAGAAGAGAATGCAGTACAAGCTCCCCAACAATCTTGATATTGACAGTGAACATATCTTTTCTAGAAACGGACCAAGAGCACTTAAAAAGCGTTACACAGCAGACTTCGAGCCGAGTGTTTTGCAGCTGTTTAAACAGCAGTAAGCCGTGTCTGCTGCAGTACACACAGCGAAAGCAGGCAGTCAAGAGTCTCTGGAGGAGTTGTTTTTCACAGGCCTGTGTGGTATGCATGTGCGGCCCGGCCCACTCTGACCCACCTCATGGCTGGCTGGTTGGCATTCCTGCCCTCACTCTGTAATTATGGCTCGTCTCCAGACCTCTCGGCTCTGCTCTCCCCACACCGCAGTGTTCTCTTCAGGGCGGGACTTTCCTCCATCAAAAGGCACACAGTTTTCACCTGGCCATTTAGCTCAGGCTCTAATCTTGACAATGACTCATCAATAAGTGTAAAGCTTAAGCTTCAGTTAGACTGGGTGTCATTTTTTGAGATACAATAACATAGATTTCGCCACCAGGGGGCTCTCAATCAATACTACAATAACAAAAGTTGACGTGCAGGCTAGCGGGGAATCATGGGAGTTCGCTCTGCTACACCCCCCCCTGGTGAAATGAACAATATGTTTACCGACGATGTATCCAAGTATCATATACATGATGTTTTTAACATAGCAGCCCCTTACAGCAACAGTACTGCAGCTTTAGGTAGCAATTCTCGCTTCCTTATGTAGCTGTCTTTGACGTAACATCTGGTGTTTCCACGGCAACGATAAGCTCATTATGGCGGCCGCCTCGTCCCGTTACAACTATAAAATTACAGTTTTCTCTTGCTTCGTTAACTGTTGGAAATATTTAAGGTAAGTACTCAACAAAAACATGTATAGGCTATATCATATGTTTAGTAATTTTTTTATTAACTCTAAATAGTGTACGTTTAATGAATCAGGGTGAATAATTTATTTGTTTAAACCGTTTTTAACGAGAATTTCAAAAAACATTTCTATGGTTACAGCTATGAAAGAGTCTACATGCCAAACAGCACATGCACGTAATCTGTTGGTGTGAAAATGAGCGTGCAGAATCAGCACAGGCGGTATTAGATCATAGCTGTGTATAGCAGAGGCTTTATGAAAGATGGCTGTTAGGTTTGAGTTCCCTCTCTAGTTTCTCTCGTCTTCAAAATGCTACTAAATTCTGCCTGAAACATTTGGCAAAACCCAACACACACACACACACACACTCACAAACACTCACACACACACACACAAACACACACAAACACTCACAAACACTCACACAAACACACACAAACACTCACAAACACTCACAAACACTCACACAAACACTCACAAACACTCACACAAACACACACAAACACACACACAAACATGAGTGAGAAAATGGATTGACTATCTTAAGAGTTTTTGAAAATCTCACATGGTAGATTTGTATCTCAGGTACATTTGTATGATTATTAGATAACCTTGTGTTGTTGTGACTCCAGAGGTTGTACACCACTTTCTCACTTTCTGTCATTTTGACAGACTGGGTCGTGAAAATCATCATAATGGCTAATTACCCGTCATTTTTTAAATTAAATTTACTTTAATGAGGCTTTCACTGGATCAGTATTTCAAGAAATAATGAAATCACATCTCTTATTCAGTTGAAATGACCGCCTGAAAAAAACCCGACAGCACTTATTTCTGTGGAGCTACAGTAATAGTTAAGTTTGGCTAACGTTAGCATTTGCTAGCTCATGCTAATCAAACTACTTAGTGACTGTTGCACGTATGCTAAGTGCGCAAGTGTGGTAGCTTAGCTCCCGAAGAATTGTTGGCTTATAATGGGTCTCTGTGTTATTCTCTGTGACTTACATAGTGGTATAACCACTATGTAAGTCACAGAGAATAACACAGAGACCCATTATAAGCCAACAATTCTTCGGGCGCTAAGCTACCACACTTGCGCACTTAGCATACGTGCAACAGTCACTAAGTAGTTTGATGTCCTGCATCAGATAAAATATATTTATATCATTGAAGACAAAGCCAAACCCTAAAGAAAACAACTGACATATTTAGCATACACGCTTGTCTGGCTACAAGTGTTGAGAAGCAAAACTTTCTGTCCCAGCTGGAACAATGTTAACTTGTTGACATAGACTGGTGAATAATCAAAATACATTATCAGTATGTGAAAGGAAATCTCACAGAGTTTCACACAATCTGCTCCATTCATGCAGCTGGGGGCGCATGACAGGCCTGCAGCAGACGGATTAGAACGATCAGCTGAGTGCGACTCAATACCACATTGTTCCTCACTGCTCGCCGCTTGTTTTTCCTCCAACTCTCCTTGCAGCTTATCAGAGGAGGACAGAACCAAATCTCCCTACCTTTTACAGTCCACTTACCCCCCTCAAACTGCTAACAAACCACTGTGTCAGCGCCAAGTCTTTTGTGGCCCTTCATTGTTTCAAACAATGCTGTTTTAAAAAAAAACACTCATGTTCAGGAAAAAGAAACACAAACAAACGACCATTAAGGAAATCAGCTTTGGGTCTGAGATTACAGAGCACACTGCTGCCTTTGTTGACAGGTCACATCTGTATTTGAGTGACAAAAGACAGCCACACAGCATGTTGCAGAGAAAGAGAGAGAGAGAGAGAGAGAGAGAGAGAGAGAGAGGTGTGTCAGCCTGAACCCATCCTCTATTCACACCCTCATTGTCTCTGCTCCACGCTGATAACAAACAGCACACAACAAGCAGACACATGTCATCCACTCCATCAAACGCTGATGTTGCGGCCCGCTGAGCAAACAGCCAGGTCGACATAAAAACATGGAAACGCACCAAAACATTGATTTGTAGCTGTGATAAGCAGATAACATCTCTGCTGCTATAACAACTAATCCATAATGTTTTGCTGTACACAGAAACACCATATTTAGCTTCATACGAAACGATTAACCTTTACCCCAATCGCCAAATCAAGACTGCTTCCCTTTTATTTCAGATGGTAAATATGTAGCCTGTTAGTCAAGCTTTTTAAAAGCCCTGCTCCACCTGATAAGTACTATTCTGAAGCAGTCGTTTTCCGTTTTGCACAGATTTAGCACACAAGATCAAAAAATGTTTTAATAGTTAGCTTAGAGGCGCCCTTCATGCTAAGCTAACCCAACATACCTTAACTACTGCTACTTCATACCATACTGACATATGAACCATATTCATCATTCATTCAATATCTGCAAGTAAAAGAATACGTGACAAAATGTCAAACTATCTATGAAATAACATATTTTTCGTTTTATTTATGTGTATTAGAACATTAAAGGCTTTATATGTGATTTTTTGATCCAGCAGATGTCGCCCTTGAGCACCAGCATGACACCAAAACAACTCGCGCTGCATTGTTGTGTTAGCATGCTAATGCTAGCGATCTTTATTATGCTGGTATCTTCACACTGCATGTAAATTTACCTGAAATGAGCGTGATCTAGAAACACAGTTAAGCAGTGAGTACAGTATGTTATTCTTCTTTTCTCTAGTCCTTCAATTAAACAACTTTTATTCGCGAGGGGAGGAGTCAGCCGGCCGTCCCGGCAATGTAAACAAAGTGAAGATAGGACTCTGAAAACTCTGAAAGCATCACAGACAGTGGGACTCGGTGTTACACCCATTGTAGACAGTCATGACTCACAGAGTTATTTTCAGAGGATATACTTGATTTCTAATATATTTAAGTGTGAAAAATCACATATAAAGCCTTTAACATCACTGGTCGGTTCACAGGAAAAGCTCCACCTAAATGAAAATCCAGCACATAATAATGAGCCTATTATTGAACTACCTTTTGTATACCAAAACAGCAAAATATACGTATCGCAGCAAAAACATATCCCTAAACAGCCATTGTGCATTCAGATATTTGCACAGAAAGCACTTTGAATGTACCTTTAAACCTCAAAGAGCCGCATCAGCAGCATCTCGCCTTTGAGAGGGGGATTGAGCAAAGCAGAGACGTTTAACCCTTAGCTGGCCTGAGAGCGTGGTAATGGAGATTAAAAAGCTGAAGATCTGCTCACCTGGCACTCTTGTGAACAGGCCTGTGATTGGAGCAAAGACGGACTTGTGTGCAGCAGAAGAGCACACACAGATCATGTGTTGACTCAACCTATCTAAACATCGTACCTGATGCTGGTGCACAAACATTGGTTGACTTTCTGCTGTACCAGCTTCAGCTGCCTTGGGAAATTAGTGTGTAGCAGGAAAGACATTTTTAATTTTCCAGGCTGATAATCAGGTTTCTTTGTGAACACGGTTTATCTTAAAGTCTTTAATCTACCTTAAGATCCTCAAATTGTTCCAAAGTGGATGCCCTTTAAAACAGAAACTGGATTTTTTTTCATATAGTTTGATGTGACTCACCTATATAAAGAGAAGAGTCTTTCTTCTTCACATGATCGTCGATGTAGGAAACACCCAAGGGCTGCACCGGCGTGGCTCCGATCCCCAGCAGGACCTGCGCCCCGATGAGCAACAGGTACATCATGTTAGTGTTGGCCTTTTTGGCGCACACAGCATCCTCGCCCGACTGAGCGTCCTTGCTGCTGGTGTTCGAGCAAATATCCCGACCCACGTCAGTCCTCCACGTCTCCCCGATCTCGTACTGTTTGGTGAGAAACTCGGGCAGCGCTGAGAGAAGAGCCCCGAGCGCCATGACGATCCCACCGCAGCCGATCAGACGCGGCCGGTGTGCTTTGGCCCCGAAGTAGCTGACGAACAGGATGAGGGCCAGATTGCCGATCTCGAAGCTGCTGGCTATCACTCCCACGTCGGCGCTCTGCAGGTTGAACCGCCGCTCCAGGGTGGTCAGCACGCTCACCTGGAACAAGAAGTAAAAGTCAAGCACAAACACAAAACAACAGGTACAACATTAAATATCAACAATAAACATAATAAGAAAAGACTAATATTTACATTTACTAAATATGAAACAGTGCAGTGGTGAATAGTGCAAAAGATGCTGAAGTAACATGATAAGTAAAATGCAGTTATGTGACAGATGGTCAATTAAGATGTCAATTACAGTATTTACATAAATAAGTGTGTGTATATTGACCGCAACAAAACAAAACACACAAAGAAGAAAAAGTAATATCCAGTAGTGACATGACAAAGCGGAACTAGAACACCCTCCTCACTTCTTTGAATCCATGTGTGGAGAAACTTCAGGTTCTCAGAGCGATATTTCATTAGAAACACTCCTGAATATTAGGACGGCGACATCACCAAGAAGTTGTAGACCAAGAAAAACAGGTGTCCAACAACTTATCCTGCTGTTTTGAGTGTGAAGGCAGATTCCCCCAGCTCCTGCAGCTACATGTCTGAAATGTCTTTGGGCAACAGATACCCATAATTGCTCTGGCTGTAAAAGCGCTTTGAGCTATGCAAGCTCAAGTTCATTAAACGCATTTACCATACTGTTACACCTCTATATATATATTTCTATGTAGAATCTGTGAACAGAGATTCAAAACAACCCCAGCCAAATCTAGCAGAAGCCGCAGCTAGCGAGGACCTCCAACTTTATGATATTATTTGATTTGACCGTGCAAGATAACTAATTTGTATATTTACATTTTAGAAAATAGAACACAATGCTAACGCTTAGTAATGTTAGGTGTGTATTTTAGAGCACTTGGATCAGATTTATTTTTTTACAGACGATGCATCTAGACAACAAAAAAAACAGGTATAACACGGCCGTCATTTTTTTCTTTTATATTCCCTTTCATTCTATTCGAGTTCTGCGTGTTTCCAGCATCACTCATGCTTTGCCTTTTCATCGGAATATCCTGAATAACAAGCTCTTCAGAAGTCCCCCGCACTGAGGCTCCGCCCTGGAAACTGGCCTCTGCTTCTGATTAGCAGGCACCAGCAACATTTGCTTCCATGGTGTGTCGCAAAAATGGTTCATCACACTCTTTCTCTCTCTCTCTCTCTCTCTCTCTCTCTCTCTCTCTTTCTTTCACCAGCTGTGACTGACGGACTGAAGCCACCAGTAAATTCTACACACGCTAACATAGTTGTCAAGGTTATTGTTTAACTGTCAGTAGTCAGAGATTAAATAATGGTAGAGCACAAGTTCAACAAGTTCATTTTGAGGAAAAAGGTTTTTAATTGAATCTGTTGTGAAGCAGAACTTGGCTGGGTTTAATTTTGTGGGAACTGTGCGCCATGAGAACCACACTTGTCACATTCAAAACTGTAATAGAAGCTATTTTCAGATGTATCCAAAACTGTCCTTGAAAGGGCATCACAATTTTTCCATTCCCCGGCTATAGCTCTGTTTAAAAGTTTTGATGGAGCACTGAAAAAAAAAGGGATCCTGCCAACACAAACATCCCTTTAAAGAAGAGAGAGAGAGAGAGAGAGAGAGAGAGAGCGAGAGAGAGAGAGAGAGAGAGACTTCACGTCAACAAGAATGAGCTTGTGGAAAAAATGTCCCATCCTATGTTTAAACATTCCAATTTAATGTACGCAGTGGATTTGGATCAGGATGTGTTTTAACAGGGAAACAGTTATGCTTTGTGCTCTAGGGCCAAATGTGGACGTGATCACAATGATTCTTTGTTTCTAAGTAACTGCACAGGAGGTTTACATTTAGTATGGTTTGCCACGGCTACACATCAAATCTTATCGAGATACTCGCTCTTAAAACTCAAGTTCAGTGAAGTGAGCACCGGAATGTTTTGAAAAGGATGCTTTGCAGTTTTTTCCTCCTCACTTTTTGTTGCTTTAAGGGTGCTTTAACCCCCTCCACTTTGTTTTCAGTGCAATCTTAATGTGATAACTGCTTTTAATGAGTACTGTAAGGGAAGGGGAAGTTTTGTAGATTTCAGTTTTTGTTTATTTACATTATTCCGTAATACTATCTGACCACACCATTGGATCTGCAGAGTCCCTCTGCACCTTTAAGAAAAAGCTAAAGACCCAGCTCTTTCATGAATACCTACTAACTTAATGATGATGGTCTCCATATTATTGATGATGATGATGGTTGTGACGATGGTTTTTGTTTGATAACAATGACTTATAAGATGGTTTCTATACTGATTAGAGCTCTCAAGAACTGCCCTCAATGTTGTGCTTTGCCTCTGGTCACTTCCTGTCAGCACCTGTGTGTCCAATCAGACTCAAAGCTGATCGTTTGCTCTCTTACTGACATTGTTCCCTTTTTTCTAGATCCTTGCTTGTGTTGTTCTTACTCTCTGATGTACGTCGCTTTGGATAAAAGCGTCTGCTGAGTGAATTGTAGAATTGACCTGAGAAAAGGAGAGGCCATGTAGCCTCTTTATTTTTAGTTTTTTCTTCACAGTTTTTTTTAATATTCTGTCCCCTTATGAGGAGGAGAATTTGAGCACATCAGGCAAGTAGACTGCAAGATGCCATTGTCCACCAGAACAGACACTGAACAAGTCTCTTTTCTCTGCCATTACAGCTGGACAGAGTCTGTCCCTCTGTTGACTTTTAGAGAGCAGATGTGACAGCAGGTTTTTCATGCTGCATGCTCTGAACACATCTGCAGTGACTCCTTCACTCCACATCAAAGCGTGGGGAGGATGATTGTCGGGAGCAGTTTGTGCTGAAGAGCTATGCAAAAGTTGAGAGGATAGAGCACTTCAGGATGAGTCATGACGTCTCAGCCCTTTGGCCGGCTCCTTCTCACAAACTGGACGCCTGGCTGGCTCCGCCCAGCTGGGATGTGATTTGCAGTGTGGTCTCATCCAGTTATTAGAAACAACGGCCAACCTAACGACGCTGTAGTTTCAGCTCTTAACAGACAGCAACACTCAACCACATCCTGCCGTGTTCCAGAAGGACTGACAGCTCCTGCTCTAAGCTCAGCAGTGGGGGAAAAAAAAGTCACTGCAGGAGTTAAACCCTCGTCTCAGTGATCAATGTGTTGCCCACTTCCACAATCAGGCCGTCCTCCAAGACGATTACACCCAGGAAAAAAAAGTATATAGGAAAAACTGAGTTGCTTGCCGCAGCAACATTTTCTCAAACTGTGGAAATGTTTAATCTGTTGCACGGCAACAAAACAAACCTCGTCATGCAGTGTGACAGCCAATCAGCTAACAGAAGAAGCAGCAGCGTTGTGTGAGCACGAGGAATCCAAACTTTCACAGACTTTCTATCATAAAAAAAGAGTGTCTGTCTGTGTTCTAGGCGAGCAGAGAAAAGCAGCTCAGTGCTGAAACTTCAGCACATTAAGGTTCAGCCACGGCGTGAAAGTGCTGAAACGGCACAGCAGCTGTTCATACTTGAAAACCTTGACTACTTAAAAACATTTAAAATAAAATCAGATTTATGAAGTGTTACCAGCTGAAGGTTGACTGAAGGTCAGCTGAGAGTTCTTAATCAGCTCTGAAAAAAGCTTTTTTAAAGAGTTTTTAAATGGCAATACCTTTTCTTTTTTTCCCCTAGACGTTTGTCTATGTGCTTGAAAAGCACATAGACAAACGTCATACGTCCTTCTGTTTACTCCAAGCCGGTGTGTGTTTAAAAAAATGCTTCACATACCTCAACACCAAGCTGACTGGAAGTCAAAGCGCACGTCTTATTATAGAGTTTTAAACTTGAATCAGTGTTCGAAAAGGATAAATGATGTCAGGTACCCGCTTAATGGAAACACCTGAATGTCACTTCATCATACAGGCCGGAGGTTGACACACTAAAGGGTAAATTCCCTGGTTGACGCATGTGAACTATTTATGAGTTACCCCGTAATAAAACAGAATCATTTTTAATCATGACAAAAATTCAAATTAATGACCCGAAGAATATATCCAGCCAGCTCCGGTCGTCTGGGACAAGGTCTGCTTTCTGTCCCCAGAGTCAGAACCAAACATGGAGAAGCAGCGTTCAGTTTTTTTTATGCTCCACATGTCTGGAACAAAGTCGCAGAAAACTGCAGGTCTGCTGAAACTCTGTTTTTAAAATGAGGGTGAAGACTCACCTGTTTACTGTAACGTTACCTTTTACTTTCATTTAACTTTTTTATTTTAGCTTCTGTTATACCTGTTTTTTTTCTTCTTTTTTGATTTTCAAGGTTTTTTTTTTTTTTTTTTAAATGTCCTCTATGAACAGGTTTTCTGCCCTTCGTCGTGATGTCTTGTGTGTTGCACTTTGAATTGCCTTGTTGCTGAAATGTGCTATATAACTAAACTTGCCTAGCCTTGCCTTAAACTAACACAGCTTAGACCCTCAGGTGCTGTGTTTAACAAAGTCACAAAAACTGCTCAAAGGGCCCAAAATAAAGAAGAAGTGGTACAATAAAAAACCTGATGGGAGTTCTGCAGTGAAGTGGATGACAGGAAGCTCATAAGTTCAGCCTTTGTGCACATGGAAGGTTAAAAGACAAAAATGTTAACAGAGGGGAATACATAGCTTTGTAATTGTTCAAATAAAGACATCTGAACCTGTAGAAATCAACCTAAACACACATTTGCTCTGGGATCAGCAAACATCTAACTGCCTGAGAGAAATGTACTTCAGGTTTGTTGCGTCTCGTTTTGGGCTCAAAACAAGAATTATTGATATTCTTCGTTTGGTCAAGTTAAAATAAGTAAAGACATTGGTGGACCCAGAAATGATTTGTTGTTTTTGGTTTTAAGTGACTGATAAAAGTTTTTAAAAAAAGATCTTAGGTTACAGCTGTTTGAGGGTTTGTTTATTTCTTTTTGTCACGTATCATCGTATTTTGGGTTTCAGACATTTGTCTAAACTGACATCAGAAGATGACAAATCGGAATGTGTGAATAAGTAACTCTGGCTATATTCCTTTTTAAATAGATAAATGATTTACCAGTGATAGGAACAATCACAACTTCATAAGCTCAATCAATGATGAAATGAATCATTAGTTGGAGCTTTAATGTTTATAAGAGCAGGTCACATACTGCTAAAAGATTCATTGAGGAAATCACTGATTTCAGAAGCATTTCTTTCTACCATACAAATTCACTAGATTTAAAACAAATGTTTTTCTTTATTATCAATGAGCTAATGATGATATCAATCTTTTATCTGTGGTTTCTGTGCAGGCCGACTGCCTGTCTGCTCGCCTGCTGCAGTCCGCCTGCTAAATCAGGACAATGTGGCTAAGTGTCCTGTGCTGAGAGCGGCTCACCCGAAGCGCGGCGGCCATGACAGGTGAGTTTTGTCCCTTCACTGCCAGCAAACACTCTCTAAGCCCCATCATCCAATCAGAGAGGTATCGCAGCGGCTCATGTAGGTGGAGCAGATTGTCGCTGAAGCAGGTACCTAATGAGCTGCTCCCGTGGAAATGAGCTGTGCTGTGTCGAGGAAGGGCAGCGGCTCAGAAAGCCTTGTGTGTTTGTGTAAGTAAATGACTCCGAGCACCACCTGAGGTATAGTGTTCAAACTGTTTAAAAAGGCGTCCAAAACATGACAAAAAGCAGAACCAATAATGCCTGTTGTAGGAGAAAAAGAAAAAGAGGAAGAAAGCCCTCATCATCCAAACAGACTGTTAACTAATGGAGGCTTGATGCTCAGCAGGTCCACTAACAAGAGGAGATGTTCCACTCCTAATATGGCCAAAGCATTCAGGGGGTTTAGTGTCTTTATTTGTGAGGGAGCCGAGTGATTCCTGGAGAATAAACATCGCTAATAGGGAAACTAAATGTTCACAGTGGATGCCAGAGGCTGTGTGGAGCTCCTCTGGGGACAGTTTCAGATCACTTCAGGACGCTTTGTCCCTAAGAAGCCTTCATCAGATCAACTGTAGGGGTTGAGAGTTCTCTGAGACGCCTTACTTGAAACCCTCTTTGTTTCATGGATCGGATTGGTTAAGACTGTGAGTAATCGTAAAAGTGAAAGGATGAGTAAAAACTTCCACACAGGAAAGATTTTCAGGGGCTTGACCTTGAATGACATCTTGAGTAAAACCGGCTTATTACTGCCCTCTTTCATATAATAAGACTATTATTATTAATGCTGAGCAGCGCTGAAAGGTCCTACTTTGGGGTCACTGCTGCATGGTTGATACACATGATGGGCACAGTCTGATAAATGACAGACATAATGAAACACACACTTACAGGATATACTGTCACAACTAGGCAAAGACACGGATATGAAACATGTCCTGCAGGCTGAGCTTTTACTGTGCGCAGATGTCCTCTCCTGTCATGTGTCTGTTGGTGTTGTGTATTACTTGTTTCCAAAGCGTCAACACAGCAGCAACAAACCCCATAAACAAAACAAAGAACCGGATAACACAAGCCCCAGTACCTGCAGGGTCAGTGCAGGCAGTATGTGAGTGCTGCATGAGTTCGGCGTGTGTTCGCACTCACCAGGTAAGCTCCGACGGTCCCCTGTGCCAACATGAGGGCGCATTCCGATATCAAGAATATCTTGATATTCGAGAAGCAGGAGGACTTTTTGCGGAGGCCGCCGTCTCCCTCCAGCATGTCCCCCCCGCTGCTCTGGTCCGAATCCCGGTGCTTCTTCACCTGCATCCTCCCTTTACTTTAGCGACACAGACACAGACACACGGCGGGTAACAGAAACACACACACACACACACGAGGATGACCGCAGGAAGACACTGACTGGTACTACAGTGTTTCGCTTTTCCGCTTTAAGACTACATTCGCGGTGCTCCGTTTGTGGCTGTTTTCCCTCCCGCTTCTTGAACGATGTCTTCTTACATCGGGACACAGCTAGGAAACACACATCCAAACTCCAAGCTCTGCCGCTCGTCTGCGTCTAAACATGACCTCCTCCTCCTCGTGGACGCGCGTTAACATGTGAACTCCCTGAAGGTGTCTGCGAAGGCACAAGTGAAGCTATAACATCGCATGTTTCCGTCAGCTGCAGGTAAAGAGGAGTCTGGTAGGTAACAGCCCTCTTCTTCTCCTTCTTCTTCCCCTCCTCTAACTCCTGCCGCTCCGGACTGTCACGGTCCTTTACGCACAATGACTGCTCACTGTCTCTGCACCCCTCCCTCTCTCTCTCTCTCTCTCTCTCTCTCTCTCTCTCCTCCCCTGTGAGCACATGCACGGCCCAGGAGGCGCTGTGCAGCAACTGCACAAGTCTGAACAACTCGCATCTGAGTTGAGGAATCACTACAGTAGTCCTGTGGGGCCCCTGGTGTATACGTATGTGTGTGTGTGTGTGTGTGTGTGGTGTTTAAGTGACTCACTGCCAATTTTCAGAGGCATATCATTTCTCCACGATAAACCTACAGGGATTATCGACCCTGTATGTTTGTTATAGGCCTGCTGGGTCCCAGAGCAGCAAGTAGAGATCATTTTAGAGCTAAACTAGCTGAGGCTAGTAGCCTAATACATCCAGATGTCAATCAACTGCATCAAATGTGATGCTTATACCATAAAAAAAATGCAAGTTGAATATGGGAACAAATTAGATTATTGGATTCTTGGATCCAGTCTTCACTATATATTATCTTCTAGTCTTCCACTTGTGTCCAGATGAAATGTTTCAAAAATACGATTAGATATGATCAACTTTTAAAGATTTTTTCAGCCGTTGTAAAGATTATCACAACATCTTAGTATGACAGTTTGGAGACGACAGAAGATTTACCTTCAAGACCAAAACTATCTTCTAACTGTATGGTTTGAGTTCTTAAAGGCTTTATGTGATTTTTCACACTTAAATGTAGAAATCAAGTATATCCTCTGAAAATAACTCTGTGAGTCATGACTGTCTACAATGGGTGTAACACCCGAGTCCCACTGTCTGTGATGCTTTCAGAGTTTTCAGAGTCCTATCTTCGCTTTGTTTACATCGTCAGGACGGCCGGCTGACTCCTCCCCTCGTGTATAAAAGTTGTTTAACACTAGAAAGACCAAGGCAGTCATTTTGACTGTTTTTTGATTTTGCAATGTAGTAACTTACTTAAAATAAAACCTGTGTAACTACAGGACCATGACTTTTCCTAAATGTGTCTATATTTTATTCTAGCATTGTTATTTTATCAAAAACACAAAACACAAAAGAGTTTTGAGTATTTCTACCTTGAAAGTCCATAGCGGTCATATTGACTGCATGCATTATAGCCAGTGTATCATTTCAGTAGTCGCTACTTTTTCCCACTCTTGAAGGTAGAGGTGGGCGATATGGGAAAAATATCATATCACGATTTTATCACAATGTTTTTTATACTGTTTAGACAAATTTGTAAGTTGCTGACCAGCTCAAACAAACTTATTTCCCTGTATAATGTTTTTTAATGCACAAAAACTGAGCAGACAGTTTAATCTATTTGAAAAACATCTTTGTAGGAGGTCTGGAGGTCTCTCACCCAGAACATCTTTAGCAACAGAAATGTCTTTCCCTCAATTTGATCAATATTTATGCACAATTTGAAGGTTTTCCTCACCACTTTGAAATGATGATTTAGTTATGTGTCCTCTTTTAATGTTCATCAGGAACATTTTCACACAGTGATGCATTCATTTAAAAACATGTAGACTTCAAGTTCTTGTGTTTCTGTTCTATTTTAGCCCTGCAGAGTTCCTCCAGCTGGAGCTTCATACAGGCTCTGCAGCCTTTGTTGTTTTTTATGACATCATTGGACTAACTTTAGTTTGGTTTATATATAATCAAACATAATACAGAATGTGTTCATTCTGTGACACATGATCAAAGTAAGTTTTACTGACAGAAGAGTTTAATTCATAGAGGGGGCGGGACATTGTTGATTGACAGACAGACAGTCACCATGGTTACTCACTCTCACCTGCCTGCTGAACACAACGTGTAACGTCGTTTAGCCTAATCCCTATAAATTCAGTTATCACAACAGGTGAGCTTCGGGTGGAGAGGCTTGATAAGTAACTTTTAAAAACTGAGAGAGAGCAGAAAACACCGACAGCAACATTTTAAACACCGGGGTTATATCTCCACTGACTGTCTGTCTGAGCTCCTCTCTGTCTCTCTGACTGTTAACGTCTCTCTGTGTCGCTCTCTGAGATGTAGACTAATCTTAACTGTGCAAACTATGCAGATAAGTTAACTGTTGCTCACAGCGTGTCGGTTTGGAAAAATATCAGAACAGTTGCATATAACCGGGATGGAGTTTTACTTTTAAGTTTCTTTTACTTTTAAGTTTCGTTTTCACCGCTGCGGAGCATTAAAGGAGGGAGGGGGGGAGACGCGTCTGTGTCGGAGCATAAACTGCAGCATGATAAAATAAACACATTAGTCCGGATCTACGATCTCTCTGCTTTGGCAGATCGTCAGCAAGTTAAAATCCTTTACGATATAAGATCGTTATATCGCCCACCACTACTTGAAGGTGCGCATCGCTGTTGCCTAGCAACTATTGTTTATAACGCTCGAGCCAAGGAGGAAAGAAAGCTTACCCGCCTAAAATCATATCGAAAGAATAGAAGACATACATTTGAATTAATCAACAATGAAAAGGCAGAATAGAGTAAATTAGGATCTGATTTAGAACAGAATAGAACTAAATGTCAGGAAGGAGGAGGATTGCTGCCACAGAGGCTCCAGAGCCTTGATGAGGCAGAGTCTGATGGAGGCAGGTTCGGATACAGAAAGTGATGTCTCCTGGTCTCTCGAAACTTCATCTGACTCTGAGATTGAACCTGAGAATGATACAGAGATCATTTCCATTCGCAAAAAACGCCGGCTGCTGTTTTCGATAAACTATTCAAATTTCAAATTCATTAGAATTTAATGTTTGTGTCCTGAAGTTTATTATACCTTTCACAACATTACAGATCCATTTATTCTTATATTTGATATTGATTATTGAAATGATATGCAAATAATTTGTAAACAGTCAAAATGACCGCTATGGTCTTTCTAGCAGTGATAGAATGCCGGTTGTTCTAGTGTTAATTGAGGGACTAGACAAAAGAAGAATAACATACTGTACTCACTGCTTAACTGTGTTTCTAGATCACGCTCATTTCAGGTAAATTTACATGCAGTGTGAAGATACCAGCATAATAAAGATCACTAGCATTAGCATGCTAACACAACAATGCACCGCGAGTTGTTTTGGTTTCATGCTGGTGCTCAAGGGCGACATCTGCTGGATCAAAAAATCGCATCTAAAGCCTTTAACCCACTTCGAGTGTAAGCCATTTGACGACATCCTCTAACAGATCAGACATCCACGTTAAAAAAAATCTTATGGATTACATAAAATAAGTCTGATGTATGACATTGGCTGTGCATTTAGACTTCAAACTTAATTTCCTATAGGTGAGTCCTGTGTTTGTTTTTCTATAGTGAATGAGAAATATAATAATCAATGAGTATTTTATTGTCAATCTTGGTTAGTGTAATCATGGTCTCTGTAGAATGTGAGAAAAGGGGAGAATCTGGAATGAATCAAAGTGCCTGTAAGGGGATTTTTATTGTAGGCTAGATGGTAAAAAAGTTTTATTCTGAAAGGCTGGGTGGCTGAATTCAGCTTGATAAATCACAACTACTGATTTATTCTTGATGAAGTATTTATTTAATTGACTTATTGTCTCAGTTCTATTATTATCGTTTACAGCTCGACCTTTAAAACATTACATAACTGTAAAAAAATGTTCTTCATCAACGCCTCACGCTCAGGCTGATTCCTTGTCAAGAGAAATATGAGCAGTAGGTTAAGACACGAATGAGGAGGAATAGGCTCCATCAGAACTATCCACTAAGCCAATAAATCGTCCAAACAATCAATTTTACGACTCATCCTGTCAGCTCTATCTCTTCAATGTGCTCATGTGAAGTAATGGAAGGTTATGGGATGTTTGCACAACGTGTTTCCAACATTTACTGGATTTTCATGCTGTCAGCACGTCTGGGATGAGGTATTGCAGTGGCTGTGATGTAATGGAACCACATAATTTGATAATGATGGCTTTGGAAATAAACAGGATGACAAACAAATGTTGTGTAAAATCTGCAAAAAGGTTTTTCTGCAGCAGCAGCAGCAGCAGCAGCAGCAGCAGCAAGGAGACTTTTAAAGGTCAGTGAGATGAGCTGGTAATTCATGAACTGTGAAATGTGTTTTTGAACCAAACGCAACATTTAGATGGAGGTGAACACACCACACTGACATGCAAGATGGTTTAAAGATGGTCTCTTTAGTGCTGACGTCATTCTTGTGAGGGGCAAGTGAGTGCTGTTTTCTCCTGCTCCAATTTCTGTAAACCAACTAAAGAAGGGTTTGTGATGGTCAGAGGAAACAACACAAGTTGACACTGAAACTGATGTTTAAAATAAACTACGTCAAGTTTCTCTTCCATTGTCTTAGCTCACATGTTCATTGAGGTTCTTAAGATTCATAAATATAACAAAAAACATTTTTTCAAATACTACATATTTCAAGAAAAAGGGTTATTTGTGTCTCTTTGAAATTGTTTAAAGATATAGTTTAAGTTCCTTTCAAAGTAAATAAAATGAAAGTTACACTAAGCTCAGAGTTACATGAGCTTTTGGGAAATGATAGTATTTCTCGCCACATTTTTCAGTGAACAAATAGATGAATTGAAACCTGTGATACATGCAGACCCGAGGGCTTAGTTATAAAATGTCACATGAGTATAAGGACCCTCAGTCTGTGCACCTGAAAGCGTCTGTCTTTCACTTCCTCAAAGCCACAGATGATGTGAGCCACAGTGACAGGTATAAACGATGCACTGCATGATTTGAAGAGTGGTCGGTGGTTCAGGACAGCCCCCCCCCCCTTCTTCTCAGACTGGGGTTTGGCAGGTGTCCAATGCAAAGTGATCATCAATCGTAGACTCTCACTCTGGACCTGCACACTCCAAATCACAGAAAACTTCTGCAGGGAATAAAAAACAACAACAAAAAAAACCCCATCAAACTGACAGTTTCAGAGTCACAAGCTGAGTCAGAGTATAGAGCGCTAAAATCCCACTCAGTGCTGATGTGTCACATCTGAGAGAGGTATGTAAATACTGGAAGCTGAAAGAACAGCA